TATTAACCCTTTCACATAGGGGAACGAACAGTTTATCACACGGTTTACCACTGGGCGCCTGAGGCTGGGCCTCCAGTATGGTGCCAAGCAGTGGAGAAGACAGTGAGAGGACAGTAGTAGCAATAATACACTCTGGTGGAATAATAGGAGATGTCACCTGTTCCGGAGCTGACTCATTATCAAATTGCCTGGACAAGGCATCAGCCTTGGTATTTTTAGAACCAGGTCTATAAGTAATGAGAAAGTTAAAACGTGAAAGGAACAGTGACCATCTAGCCTGTCTGGAAGACAAACGTTTGGCATCCCCTATATATGCCAGATTTTTGTGGTCGGTTATGATCAACAGGGGGTCCTTGGAACCCTCCAAAAGATGTCGCCACTCCTTGAGGGCAAGAATAATGGCCAACAGTTCTCTATTGCCAATATCATAGTTGCGCTCAGCAGGAGACATCTTTCTGGAGAAGTAGCCACAAGGATGCAATGGTGTTCCCTGGCTTTCTCTCTGAGAGAGAACAGCCCCTATCCCTGTCTCGGATGCATCAACCTCCAATATAAAAGGTTTACTAGTGTCGGGATGTTTTAGTATGTCCGCAGAGGCAAATCTTTGTTTAAGAGTCTCAAAGCATTCACAGCCTCTTTGGACCATACCGTGCTACTAACCCCTTTGCGAGTCATATTTGTGATTGGGGCTATTACAGAAGAAAATCCCTTGATGAATCTTCTGTAATAGTTGGCAAAACCAATAAACCTTTGAATGGCTTTTAAACCAGAGGGTAATGGCCAGTGTAGTACAGCCTCTAGTTTTTTAGGATCCATTTGAAATCCCGATGCAAAGATGTTGTAACCCAAAAAGTGGACTTCAGGCTGGTCAAATATGCACTTTTCTAATTTACAATAAAGTTTATTTTTCAACAGTGTCTGCAGAACCTGTTTCACATGGGAGTGGTGAGTTTGAAGATCAGGGGAATACACCAAAATATCGTCCAAATAAACCAAGACAAATGAGTAAATGAATTCCCTGAGTACATCATTTATAAAGTCTTGGAATACGGCCGGGGCGTTGCATAACCCAAATGGCATTACCAGATATTCATAGTGTCCACTACGGGTATTAAATGCCGTCTTCCACTCATGATTCTCTTTAATTCTAACCAAATTGTAAGCGCTCCTAAGGTCAAGCTTAGTAAATACTTTAGCTCCCTGAAGTCTATCGAACAATTCTGAAATGAGTGGGATAGGGTATGCATTTTTTACAGTGATTTTATTAAGTGCCCTGTAGTCTATGCAAGGGCATAACTCACCACCCTTTTTCTCAACAAAAAAGAATCCTGCACCAGCTGGTGAGGATGACTTTCTTATGTGCCCTTTGCTCAAGGATTCTTTGATGTATCCCTCCATTATTTTACTCTCCTGGGGAGATAAGGCATAAACTGCCCCCTTAGGTGGCATAGCGCCTGGAAACAGGTTAATGGCACAGTCATATGCTCTGTGGGGAGGCAAAACATCGGATTGAGCCTTGTTAAACACCTCCTGAAGTTCTCGGTATTGTATAGGAACTCCAGGAGTTTGGGGAGTGGTAGTGGGAAGGTCAGTAGTATCCAATCTCTTTAGTACTGGTTTTATACATCTCCCCATACACTCTTTACCCCATTCTAATATCTCCCCATTAGCCCAGTCAATATAGGGATTGTGCTTACTCAGCCACGTAGCGGCGTAGGTCTCTCCCTGACCGGTATCTCATTACCCCTAATAAACTGGACATCAATAAAATTTCCAGCAGCACCTGAGTCCATTAGGGCACTGCAAGAAAACTTCTTGTTATCAAGGGAAATAGATACCTCAAGGAGGAATCTACTTTTGTTTTTGTTAGAGGACAACTCCATAACACCTAAGATCTGTCCCCTTAAGGTTCTTAGGTGCGGAAGTTTTCCGGACGCACTGGACAATTCATTATCATATGTCCCTTTTTACCGCAATATAGGCATAACCCCTCCCTTCACCTATACTGTTTTTCGGCCTCTGACAGTCTAGTGACCCCCAACTGCGTAGGTTCAGGTTCGGACTGTACAGGGAGGTTAGACAAAACAGGTTTAGAGAATTGAGGTGCTAGGGACATAGCCGTACGTCTGGTCTTGCATTCCTGGATATTGCCATCAAACTGTAGGGATGGTGATAAGGAGATGCTAGGAGTCCTATTAACAGTGGGTGGAGGTACACAGGGTAGAGGTGCTATAGGAGGAGACGCTGCAGATGCTCCGTTCTAGCGAGAAGCGTACTTAAAGCCTGAGTGAATTGATCCATGCGGTGATCATTCTCCTCTAATTTCCTCTCGCAAGCAGCTGTGCTGACACAGTTCTACAGGATCTATGGCCATGTCGTAATGTCAGGATTACTGTTTGATTCAGCACGTAGAACTGTACAGCACAGATGACAAATAAGTAACGTATTACCGGTCCTTAGAATGGCCGGATTTAACGTACAAAGAATAGTCAAAAATACTAGCCGAGGTCAGGGAACACAGAAAGGGACGCAGCGATGAGGAAAGCCAGGAGTCAGGATACCAGAATATAGAGAAGTCAATAAACAAAGCCAAAGTCAAAGTCAAAAACCAGGTAGAAAACTAATAACAGGAACACGCTCTTGGACAACCACAAGGGAAACCACGACAGGGCACTGAGCAGGATGAGAACTGGGCCTAAATACCCTCCTTTAGTTCTGATAGGCTGTAACCGGCCTTTGACCCCAAAGTCAGTTACCAGGTTTCATTTGCATAATTGCTGCTCAGCATTAACCCTTCTGTGGATTAGGTTGCTGGTCGGCACAACTTTTCCTGTGTGGACAGTAAATGTCATTAACCACTTTTCTATAAGCTGATGAATACATGAGACCAGGTTTCATTTGCACAATTACTGCTCAGCATTAAACCTTCTGTGGATTAGGTTGCTGCTCGGCACAACTTTTCCTGTGTGGACAGTAAATGTCATTAACCACATTTCTATAAGCGGATGAATACGTGACACATGATAGCTCATGATCAAAATTTTGTTTCTCAAACTGCAGATTTGGAGACTAATTGAAATCATGAAATAAAGATAGAATATCAAGAGTTACCCAGATTAATATTAATCAGATAACAATCTAGGAAATATTTATCAGATAAGAATTGTTTTAACTAAACCTGCAAGAATTTAGTTACTGGATGAATTAATTAATTAATCATAATTAATTACTCTGTGAAACAGCAGTGAGCTAGTTAAAATCCTGTATGAGTGAAAGTTTAACCTCTTAGTGACTAGACCGTTTTTCAATTTTCTTACCATTAAGGACCAGGGCTGGTTTTACATTTCTACGGTGTTTGTGTTTAGCTGTAATTTTCCTCTTACTCATTTACTGTACCCATACATATTACATACCGTTTTTCCCGCCATTAAATAGTCTTTTTAAAGATACAATTATTTTCATCATATCATATAATTTACTATAAATTTTTTTATAAAATTTGATGAAAATATTTTCTTACCTTTTTTTGGGAAAGTTATAGGGCAATGAGTACAAGCAGCACTTTGCTATTTCCAAACCATTTTTTTTTTCAAAATTATCTAACGTTACATTGTAACACTGATATCTGTCAGGAATCCCTGAATAACCCTTGACATGTATATATTTTTTAAAAGAAGACAAGGTATTAAACTTTGGGAATTTTGACTATTTTCATGCAACCATATTACCACCAATCTATGCCAAATTAAAAAAAAAACACATGGCAATGTAAGAATACATGTACTGAAAACCATGTGTTACTGCCAAAGAACACCCCAATATGTGTTCAGCAACATCTCCTGAGTACAGTGACATCATCCATGTATAGGTGTGTCAGATTCTTTGGGGGCTAAAAGACCTTATTTGGAGGGTGCGCATTCCAGTTTTCCAACTTGGAATTTTCACAGAAGGTCATCATGCACCCATGTCCTATTTGGGACATTTTTGAAGCCAGACAATGTAATTTACCCCCATCAAACCATATATTTTTGAAAAG